GCAACAGAAACCAGAGATTAAAGTGAGACGATCCTCGGTGGGATTGTATTTTTCTCGCATGAGGAAAAGGGGATTTCGTGACTTGCGTGTCACTAGGTCGGGATAGTGGTCACGGGGAGGAAGTTAGTGGGGTATTTGGATCATGTTATGGGTGACCCTTGGGGGCTCAGCTGTGGAGCCAGAAGCTGACCCGGTGCTCAGTCTCGAAGAGGTATATGAGAAACGAGCTAGAGTTTATCATGATGATGCCTGAGGACACTTTAGAGTGAGGGAGCGATCCAGACGCTCGAAGACATGCTTCGGGCATATGTATTAGATTTCGGAGGAAGCTGTGGCACGTATTTATCCTTGGTTGAGTTGTTCCATAACAACAACCATCATTAGTGCATTCGTATGCCGCCCTTTGAGCTGTTGCATAGGAGGGGGTATCGGACCCTCATTTGCTGAGGAGAGGTAACGCATGGACCCGAGAGTCCTTGCGAGCAGATCCAGAGCATGTGCGATACATGGAGTAGTGGCAAGGTCGTCAAGCGGATTTCCCTAAGCAAGGGAAGAGAAAGGTATGTTGGGGCTAGTGCAGTATGTGTATGCGATTGCAAGAGGAGAACTCGTGAGAGTTGCTCTGAGAGTGACAATGGGTCTCTCAGTCGTTCCGAAATGGATACAGTGGGCTTTGGATCGGGAATCCGGTGATTCATGGTTTCCTAACCCTTATGGGTCGAGTGATCGTTGAGATTTGGAGCAGAATTGCATCGTGGGTAATTCTCGGTTACAGGGAGTGGTGGGCAGTACAAAGATCGTGCTTCAGTCGACAGAGCAGATTCAGCAGGTTAAACAGAGGTTATTGATCGCCTAGAGCTGACAGAAAAGTTATGCAGACAAACGCCGGTACGAGCCTGAGTTTCAGGTCGGTGACTTCGTACTCCTGAAGGTCTCTCCTTGGAAAGGGGTGATTCGATTCAGGAAGAGGGGCAAGTTGGGGCCCCGGTATATTGGACCTTTTCGTGAGATTGTGAGGGGAGGACGGGTGGCCTACCGTTTGGAGTTGCCAACAGAATTGAGATAGATCCACAACACTTTTCATGTGTCGCAATTGAAGAAGTGTATAGCCGATGAGTCAGCAGTGGTTCCACTGGAGAACATTTAGGTGGATGCGAGCCTGAGTTATGCTGAGAGACCAGTGGCCATCATGGATCGGAAGATCAAGGTTCTGAGGAACAAGGAGGTACCTCTGGTGTTGGTTCAGTGGCAACCCCGGAAGGGATCGGAAATGACTTGGAAGTCGGAACGTGAGATGTGGGAGCAGCATCCGGAACTATTTTCAGAGTGAGACTTCGAGGGCAAAGTCTGATTCTAGTGGGGGAGAATTGTAACAGCCCGGAATTTCAAGTATTGTTAAAATTATATTTTAGGGGATGTTTTAAGGGGGGACTCGGCGAGTTGGAGCCAGACTCACCGAGTAGGATCGCAGACCTGGTCGCGGGTTCGCGACTGGACTCGACGAGTCAGATAGGGACTCGGCGAGTCTGCGCTGTTTAGCGAAAACCCTAGCCGTTTAGGTTTGGGACGTATAAAGGGGACTTATAGGCCGTCATTGTTCGTTTTAGCCTTCTGAGAAGAACTCTAAATCGATTGTGTGCATCTAGATCAAGATTAAAGGCCATTGGTGATTTTGAAGGAGTTGTTGTGCAAAGAAGAGAAGGGCTTGGCTAAAGGAACAGCAAGGGGGTCACATTCTGAGGATTGGGGACACAAAGAACACATTCTCCAGGTAAGAATTCGTGTATACTCTGCTATGGTGATGTATTTACAGGATTAGGGTTTATGGAACCCTTTTATGGATAGATTGAATGTTACCCTTGTTCCCCAAACGATTGTAACCCTGTATTAGGACCCTTGGAGGTCCAGAATATCCCATGTCTGTGCATTTCGGAAATTGGTGAAGGTTTTGGATTGAAATCCTTATGCCTTAGGTCAACATGTGAATTATAAGTCTCGGGGTGTAGCATGAGCACCTAAATGAAGACCTTACGTGATGGACAAGTCTAGGAGGGCCAGACCTATGAAGGGTCGGAGCAGTTCTGACCTTAGGAAGCAGTTTGAGCGGCTTCATGGCATGGACTCGCCGAGTCAGATGAGCAGACTCGGCGAGTAGCTTGAAGAATAACTGGGACTCGTCGAGCTGTTCCTCAGACTCGGCGAGTGGAGTCGGGGTGGCCCCGCGATTCTTCCAGGAGTAACTCGTCGAGCCAAGGAGGATACTCGACGAGTAGAAGGGAAAACCTTAGAGAACTGGAGGACGACTAGACTCGCCGAGTCGCCAGAGTACTCGCCGAGTCCGGTCGAGTTGACCGTGGACCGTCGACCAGAGTTGACCTATGTGTAATTTCTTAGGGTCAGTTGTCTTGAAAGATAAAAGTATTAATAAGAGAATACATTACCCAGGGAGCTTGAAGCTCGGCGGATCAAGTGCAAGTGATTTCAGGAGTTGCTAATTTCCAGTATCCACGAGGTGAGTCTTCTCACTATACTGTACCCGGAAGGGTTTGATTGTGTGACCGGAAGGTCGGATATGATATGTGTTATAAGTGCTATAAATGGAAAGGTAATTGCTATGCGTGCTATGTATGTTTATATGGGCCGGAAGGCAATATGTTATGTGACCGGAAGGTCGGATATGTTGTGTGGTATATAAGCTATATGTGGCAGGTTAATTATTATGCGTGTTGTGTATGTTTATATGGGTCGGAAGGCAATACGTTATGGGCCGGAAGGCAATGTGCTATGGGCCGGAAGGCAATATGTTATGGGCCGGAAGGCGATTATCTCATGGGCCGGAAGGCGTTGTGTTGTGGACCGGAAGGTCAGGGCCTGGAAAGGCGTATATGCGTAAGTTGTATATTGGGGAACTCACTAAGCTTCGTGCTTACAGTGTTTTGTGTTATGTTGTTTTCAGGTCCATTCAGTAACACGGGACGGCACCGGCTCGATTGTACACACCAGAGAAAGAGTTATGTTTTGGAGGATCCTGGTTTTCTATTCAAGTGAAAATGAACTATGTTTTGTAATTCAATTATGAATGAGATTTTAAACAAGTGTTCCAATAAAATGATTATTTTAAATGAAAAATTTTGCCTTGATATTTACGGTGTTACACCACTTTTCAGTGTAAATTCAGCACGCCCCCTGTACCTCTCTGACTCCAATTCCAAACTTGATTTTTCCAACTTTTTCGTTCTTCGTCCGATCGTCCCGAAATCTTCACCAATGCTTCCTGAAACTTCCCAAAGCGCGTTCCAACCTCCCGTTTACCTGAAAAAGACATAAAAGTGTGAAAATAAGGTTGTTCTACAGGCTAACATGAATATGATGAAATGCAAGGAAAAGGAAGAACAATTGTGCTAAATATATGCATGAAATAGGACTAAAAGGTGTGCAAAAAGGTGCACAAATAGCACCTAACAAATCACCCCAAGCTTAGACCTTTCTTGTCCTCAAGAAAGAACAAGAAGTAGACAAACAGGACAATTTCTAGATGGCAAAAAAGAAACTTAGAACGAAAAGGGGATGAAGGATCCTAAAGGTTAAGAATGAATGCATGCAATGTAATGCCATGAAAATTTAAGGTATGTACAAAATGCACTTGAGAAACAAAATGAAGCAAAAGAAAAGAAGATTAAGAACAAACACAAAATATGTGCTTTTGTAACTAAATAAAGGTACGATCAGACTTTACATCGATAGGGCTCCGATCATTGATACCTTGGCAACCATCCTGTTTCCTTCCACATATCACAGACTCTCAATGTGAGGAAGACCCGAAACTGTGTAACCCAATAATCCAACCAACGTTTTATTTTATCTTTATACCTTACTAAGCTTTATGGGTGAAAATAACATAGTCCGGATTTCATGTCCTTAAGAATAGATGGCCAAGAATCAGAATCGACGCATCCTTAAGAACCCGTCACCGCGAATCAACTTTCGCTGAAACAGTGAGCCCACCCGAAGGGGCTCAGCTCCTATGCTTTCACTTTTTCGAGAGCCACAAGTATCATATCACACAGTTCTTCATTCTCCATATTTGACTTGAATTGGCTTTTGATTTGATTGAACTTTGATTTGTACTTCGTTTTGAATTAGGATTCTTCAATCTTCATTTTTGGAATTTCTTTAGATTTCTTCGTTTTGGCATTTGAAATTCTGATTAGGGTACTAGATATGACAGTTGTACCCTTCCTTCTTTCTTGACTGTGTGGGTCTGATACTTAAGGTCTCTGTTACCGCGGGGGTAACGTGAGTCAACAGATAGGCCCGTGTTATGTGGGTTCATAGTTGCCGATAAAGATTCTTTTTAAACATTCAAAAGCAAATCATCCTAAAGTTGTTATTACCGCCCAAAAAATGTTTCAATATAAATTTTTTTATTATCTAAGGCTAGGGTCTCAAATTACGGTGTTTGGTTCCCCTAGTTATGACAGCTGATTCTATTCTTCTGGTAACTACCCGGTCGCCTCGGAATTCTTTCGTTTCATGGAGCAATTGTATGTAAAGAGTGTCATCATCTCGTACACTTTTTTTTTGAAAAACAAATATAGAATGCAAGGAAAATGTAAATAAGAAAATAAAATAGAAAATAAGAAATAAGAGAGAATAAAATAATTTTTTTTTTGGAAAAATGAAATAAAAAATTTTGAATATAAGAAAATGCATGCATGAGTATGAGTGAACCTAATATACAAGTCTACCCCTCCCCAAGCTTAAAGATAAGCATCGTCCCCGATGCTTGGAGAGGGTGGAACAATCTAAAATGGAGGTGGAGGAGGAGGATAGTAGCTGGGATTTTGGGTCCAAGCCCAGAAGTCCTCCTCATGTTTGCGTTGACGCTCTTGATCCCGAGCGTACTGGATGGTGAAGGTGGAAAAATTCTAGGTCAGGCTGGTAATATCCTGCTGGTAGGTGTCGAGGCGGGTATGGATTGATTGGAATTCATCCATATACTATTGATGATAAGGCGGGGGTGCAGCAAAATGGGATGAGCTGCCACCACCAGTGGGAGAAGCATGGTGAGGCTCCTCCTCTTCTTCATCACCATCACCATCTTCCTCGTTTTCTTCACTTTGTTCATCTACCTCGGTGGAGTATGAGTGGGGGAAGATGTATGGAATGATTTTCCAATCGGTCATGTGAATGGGATTTCGGAAATCAAGAATGCCTTTATTTTTCGGTGTGATGAGGAGCTTTGGATCATGATTTTGACCCACGGTCCAATGGTGTGTGATATCGCCTGCCAAACGGAAGAGTCGCATGGAGTCAAGGACAGTAGTGGTGAGATAAGGCTCACCCGAAAGTGGCTGATGGGGACCGGGGTATGGGGCTCGGATGTGGGCGCTCTTGGCGATCATGCTGACAATACCCCCGCAAACAATCTTTCCCGATCGGGATGTCCTAAGGCGGATGAGCTTGTGGCATAGAAACCGACCATATTGAGGAATGAGGTTATTCTTGGGATGGGTCATTGCATAGAGGATTTTGAGTTCTAGCGCACTGATGGTGCATCGCTCCTCTCCAGGGCCGACGAGCGAAGGAATGATTTTATAGGCTACCTTAATCACATGATGGATAAGTGATGAGGCTCTAGCAGCACTACAGACATAGGGGTGTAATTAGGTGAGCTGGGTCCACCATGTCATGTCAAAGTATCCTTGAAATGGGTCAGTGGGGCCAAATGTGTTTTCCATTGGGGCCCCCACAATGGCATTAATTTGATCCAAAGAGATCTCATAGTCTTGATTCATTAGACGGAAGTAGAGGATCCCATGATCTAAATAAACTGAGGATAGAAACTCAGCTGTTGAGACTTTATAGCTCAATTCATGGACCCTCAACAAGCCGTGCCACCCTATGTTGCCAAACAGGGTTTTGACTTGATTGTAAACATGAAACTCTTTTAGGGATGGAACATGCTCGAATTTTTGGATGGCATGACCCCATTTAAGGAATGACTCAAGTTTGCCCTATTGAATTGGGCCAAGACATACGACACCACAATGAGACGGGTTCGCTGGGGTTGTTGGGGACCTAGATGGAGGTGATGGGGATCAAGATGGAGGTGATGCAGTCCTAGGCTTCCGACGGCGGGAGGATGATTTGGTTTGTCTTGGTATTTTGGAAGATGCAGCTTCCATAGTCAAGTTTGGGACAAATTAAAAGTCAATAGGTCAAAATGTCAAAAAGTCAACTGTTGACGGGTCCAGTCAACTGTTGACGGGTCCAGTCAACTTCGAATTTGGCCACCAAAATTTCACGGGAAATTTGGTTTTCAAAGATTTCCTACTAAGAATCAAGTCCAAATAGACCACAATTTCAAGTAATTTGACTTAAGAACACAAAATCCAAAAGTTAAGAGTTGGGAGGAATTTACCGAATCGTGTGTGGGATTGTGTTGTTCTTGATGGAAAAGATCTTCCTTAACCTCCCCAAGCTTGCCGTCTTTAAGATTAAGACACTAAAACACCAAAATCACATGAGATTTTCAGATCTAGGGTTTGTCAAAAACCCCCCCAAATCCACCATTAAAATGCAAGAAAATGGTGTTTAAGATGGAGAAGATGAAGTGTAGATGATGAAAATCAAACCTTTTTGTAGATGAAAGCCAAAATCTTGAAGAAATTGAAAGGTTTTCTATTAGAATCGGACCTAAGATTTCTATTGGGAGAGAGGGGCTGTTAGGAAGTGAAAGTGGGGATAAATGAGGTCAAGTCCCGATTTTTTTCTTTAAAAAGGTCTGGAACTGATGTGTGAACACGACCCGTGTCGCCCCAGGCCAAATTGACACGCCCCGTGTTGGGGGGTTTTATGCTGAGTTAAGGACCAACACGACCCGTGTTAGGTTAAGGCCAAAACAATCACAACCCGTGTTGCTCTCTGGAAGAATTTGGGACTTTTTTGCACGAACACAACCCGTGTCCATTATAGGCCAAAACCAACATGACCCATGTTGCTCTCTGGAAGAATTTGGGACTTTTTTGCACAAACACGACTCGTGTCCATTATAGGCCAAAACCAACACGACCCGTGTTACTCTCTGGAAGAATTTGCGACTTTTTTGCACGAAGACGACCCGTGTTGGTCCCTGGATGCTAATCCCCACTTTTTGAACTTGAAAATTTCCCTCTCTTTGAAATGAAATACTTTTGCATTCCTAGGTCCGTTTGGTGATTTTAAATCATGATTGTATGAATTTGGAACATTCAAAACCAAAAACTCAAAGAAATGGAAATTGTTTTTAAATAAAAAATAGAAATACCCCCGGGTTGCCTCCCGGTTAGCCGCCCTTGTTTCAAGTCGTTTGCTCAACTTTTCCCCCGCATATGCTTCAGTCTTGGTATGTGGGGTTCTCCAACTCGTCAACCTCCTCATTCTTCACCTCAAATCCTTCATAAAATGGATTCAGCCTGTGACCATTGACTTTTTATGTTTTACCCGTTTGCTTGCTCGTGATTTCCACCACACCATGGTCAAACACCCTTGTGACCACGAAAGGACCAACCCATCTCGATTGCAACTTTCCTGAAATTAGCTTGAATCTTGAGTGGTAAAGCAACACCTTTTGTCCTTGTATAAAAGTCTTTCGGGAGGTCGCCCTATCATGGTATGCTTTTGTTTTCTCCTTATAGATCATGTTGCTTTCGTATGCATCATTCTGAATCTCCTCTAGCTCTTGGATATCAAGTTTCCTTTTATTTCCCACTTCATCTTCACTCATGTTGAATTTCTTTACCGCCCAAAAAGGTTTATGCTCACGCTCAACTGGAAGATGGCATGCTTTACCAAACACAAGCCTATATGGGGACATACCAATGGGAGTTTTAAAGGCGATACGGTATGCCCATAAGGCATCATCTAGCCTTAAGCTCCAATCTTTGTGGTTTGGATTGACCGTTTTCTCCAAGATGCTTTTGATTTGCATGTTTGAGACCTCTGCTTGTCCATTGGTTTGGGGATGATAAGTTGTTGAGACTTTGTGTGTCACTCCATATCTCTTCAAAGCAGCTTCTAGCATCCGATTGCATAAATGGGTCCCGCGGTCACTTATGAGCGCCTTTGGTGTGCCAAACCGTGAGAAAATCTGTACCTTAAGGAAATCGACCACAACTTTGGAATCATTAGTATGGGTGGCCTTAGCCTCCACCCATTTGGACACATAGTCCACCGCTACCAAAATATAAGAACAACCAAAAGAGGGCGGAAATGGTCCCATAAAGTAAATACCCCATACATAAAAAATCTCACATACTAGAATAAGGGTAAGGGGCATTTGATTCCTGGAGCTTAAAGATCCGAATTTTTGACACTTTTCACAATGTGCACAAAGGACATAGGAATCATGGAAAATAGAAGGCCAAAAGAATCCGCTATTTAAAACTTTCCTAGCTGTCCTTTGGGGTCCAAAGTGACCACCACAAGCATAAGATTGACAAAAATTAAGGATAGATTGTACCTCATTTTGCTCAACACACCTGCAAATTACTTGGTCCGCACAGTACTTCCAAAGGTAAGGCTCATCCTATATATATCGTTTGGCTTCCTTCTTGATTTTCTCTTTGCCAACGGGATGAATTTGGGGGAAATGGACTTGTGACCAAGTAATTGATGAATGTGTCACATATTGGTATATCATCTTCGGGCGGTACAATGCGACTTAGATGATCCGCAACCAGATTTTCCTTTCCACTCTTATCTTTGATCTCAATATCGAACTCTTGCAAAAGCAGCATCCACCGTATTAACCTCGGCTTTGAATCCTTCTTTGTAAGTAAGTGCTTTATGGCTGCATGGTCCGAATATATGACCACCTTAGTTCCAAGGAGGTATTATCGGAACTTCTCTAGAGCAAAGACAATAGAAAGAAACTCTTTCTCCATTGTGGTGTAGTTTCCTTGTGCACTATCAAGGGTCTTTAATGCATAGTAGATGATATGATGTGCTCGGTCAACCTTTCGTCCCAAAACCGCCCCAACCGCGGTATTTCTAGCATCGCACATAATCTCGAATGGAAGATCCTAATTTGGCAGTTGAATAATGGGGGCGGATGTCAACAATTCTTTCAAAAGATCACATGCCTTCTTACATTCATCACCAAACTCAAAATCGGCCTCCTTTTGTAGAAGTTGACACATCGGCACCGTGATCTTGGAAAAATCCTTTATAAACCGCCGATAAAAACCTGCATGGCCAAGAAAAGAACGCACTTCCCGAACATTTGTTGGGTATGGTAAGCTCTTAATAACATCTGTTTTGGCCTTGTCAACTTCTAAACCTTTTTTGGACACCACATGTTCAAGTATCAAGCCCTTGTCAACCATAAATTGGCATTTTTCATAGTTAAGGACTAAGTTTGTGTCAATGCACCTTTGTAGAATTTTGGTGAGATTTTGCAAACATTCATTAAAAGAATTTCCATAAACAGTAAAATTGTCCATGAAAACCTCTATGATATTTTCAACATATTCTGAAAATATGCTCACCATACATCTTTGGAATGTCGCGGGTTCATTGCACAAGCCGAAGGGCATGCGTCTATACGCAAAGGTGCCGAAGGGACATGTGAATGTGGTTTTTTCTTGGTCTTCTGGGGAAACCGGAATTTGATGAAAACCAGAGAAACCATCAAGGCAGCAATAGTGGGATTTCTCGGCCAATCGTTCTAACATCTGATCGATGAATGGAAAAGGGAAGTGCTCTTTGTAAGTGGAAGCATTCAACTTCCTATAATCGATACAAACTCTCCACCCGTTTTGCACACGGGTGGGTACCAATTCCCCCTCGGAGTTTTTGACAAACAGTGACTCCGACTTTTTTCGGGACTACTTGCACAGGACTTACCTACTTACTATCAGAAATAGGGTATATTACACCTACATCCAAGAGCTTCATGATCTTCTTTTTAACCACCTCCATCATAGGTGGATTCAACCTCCTTTGGGCTTCACGGGATGGCTTGAAGTCCTCTTCCATTAGTATTTTGTGCATGCATAACGATGGGCTCAACCCTTTTATATCCGCAATGGTCCAACCAATAGCTTCCTTGTATTTCTTCAAAATTCCAACTAACTCTTTTTCTTCTTCTCGTGCCAGCTTGGTCGAAATTATCACCGGTAATGTCTCTTCCTCTCCAAGATAGGCATACTTGAGATGGTCGGGAAGAGCCTTCAACTCGAGAGTCGGTGGTTGTACTATAGATTGGAGAAGTTTCGGATTAGAACTTTTTATCTTCATGCGAGGTGGTTCAACTCTAATGGGTTGTGCTTTCTCCAAAGAATCAATTACTTCAATCAATTCATCTTCCAATGTGTACTTGTCAGCTAACTCCTTAATCCCTGTCTCATCAAAGTGTTTGCTCAAGATGGTGGTTAGCACATCTTGGCTTGACATCTCAAAACAATCATTAGTACATGAATCAATAACATCTATGAAGTTTAAAGAATGAATATCGCTAGGATAACGCATGGCTTCAAAGTTATTAAAGTTGATCACCTCCCCATCGAACTCCATTGGCAAAGTACCATCGGCTACATCTATTTTTGTTTTTGCGGTACTCATAAAGCGTCTCCCCAAAAGGATGGAGCTCGATTGTGGGGTGTTTTCATCACCCATGTCTAAAACATAAAAGTCAGCGCGAAAAACAAGCTCATTAACTTGCACTAACACGTCCTCCAATACACCTTTCGGCTGTTCCAAAGACCGATCAGCAAGTTGAATGATGACTCCGGTTTTTTATAAAGCTCCAATTCCCATTGATTTATAACTTGAATAGGGTAAGACATTAATTGATGCTCCCAGATCAAGCATGGCACGTGGTACAAAAAGGTTACCCATTTTGCAAGGAACCGTGAAAACACCCGGGTCCTTGCATTTTTTTGGTAGCCGTTTTTGTAACACAGTTGAGATATTTTCACCAACCTTCACAGTTTTGTTTCCTTTAAGCTTTTTCTTAGATGTGCAAAGTTCCTTGCGGAACTTAGCATATCTAGGAATCTGTGTAATGGCATCTAAAAGAGGGATATTGATTTCAACCTTTCGAAACACGGCCATGATTTCGTTATCTTCCCTTTCTCTTTTGGTGCTTGCCAGCCTTGAAGGAAATGGAGCTGGTGTGACTTTCACTTCGGATTCTATTAGCTTCCTGGACTTTGGAGTACTCTTCTTTTCCTCTACAGCTTCTTCCACCTCAATCTCTTTCTCTTCTTCTTCTTGTTCATTCGGCATTCTTGGACTTTCATAGCTTTTCCCACCTCTTAGAGTAATTGCACACGCATTGTGTTTTGGGTTCTTCTCCGTTTGAGAGGGTAGATTGCCTTGCAACTCCATCTTACTCACAGATTGAGCAAGTTGTGATACTTGTTGCTCCAAGCTTTTTATGCTTGCCTTGGTTTCTTGTTGAAAGCTTTGAGTGCTTGTGGCAAGGCTTTTCACCATGTCCTCTAAGGACATATTTGAAGAACTCGCTTGGGGAGGGGCTGTTGTGGGTGCCTTGCTTGGTAATTTTGAGGTTGGAAGGGTGGTCGTTGTTGATTTTAAGGGAATAGTGGTCTTGGTTGATATTGATGCGATTGATTTTGCTGATAATTCCCTTGTGGATTGCCTCCCCACCCTTGATTATTGTTCCATCGCGGATCACCTCTTGGTTGCTCATAACCTCTCTGATTTGCCCCAGAATAGCCTCCCATGACTTTTGCTTCTTCATAATCTTCCTCTTGGAGTTGTGGGCACAGATCGGTTGGATGGCCCACTTAGGTGCAAATACCGCATGGGCAGGGAGTGAGCTGTACACCTTTGTCTTTGGCCAACATCATGACTACTTTCGTGAGCTCGAACAATTGAGCTTCAATCTGAGGAGTTTGAACTTCTTTTACACCCTAGGGTGCATCCGTGTACCTTTATTCATCATGGATTTAATGTTTGGAATCTTCATCCATGTTCTTGATTAGATTGCGTATTTCAGTAGGAGTCTTGTCGGGTAAAGATCCGCCACTGGAGGCATTAAGAAGCCTTCTTTCCATTGGAGTCATTCCTTCAATGAAATATTGGAGGAGCTGGTATTCGTTAATTACATGCTTTGGGCATCGAGCACAAAGGTTCTTGAATCGATCCCAATAAGTGTGAAAAGCTTCTCTCTTGTGCTTGATTCCAATGATTTCCCTCCGTATGGCAGAAGCTTTCATCTCGGGAAAATACTTGTCCAAGAACAATCTCGCAAGATCTACCCAAGTAGTTACCATCCCCGGTGGGAGGTCATAAAGCCAATCTTTGGCCGCGTCTTGCACTGCAATGGAGAATGCCCTAAGCTTGATTTGGTCCTCCGTGACATTGTGAAGTTTCATACCGACACATACTACATGGAACTCGGTGAGGAACTTGTGAGGATCTTCATTATCCAAACCTCTAAAAGTTGGGAGTAAGTGGATAAGCCCGGATTTTAGTTCCAAATTGGTGGCAGTTGAGTATGTGATACAAAGAGGTTGTTGAGTCACCTCTTGTCTTGACCATTGACCGAGAGTTTGTTCGGGTGGTGGGTTTATAGGACCTTGATTCCCTCCAGGGTTATCTAACATGGCTTGAGAATCAGGTGATGTTTCTGTAGGTGAACTGTTTAGGATATTATGAATAGGTGAAGAAGGTGGAGTGATATTTATGGGTGAGGCTAGTTGTGGTGAGAGTGATGGGCTTTCTGTTTCTGATGCGGATACACTTGAGAGGGGTATGTCCTCCCAAATCTTGATGACCGAGGGATTGGATGATGAAGAAGTACCAGAAACCGGTTGCCTCTTATGAAGCTTGGCTTGCTTCCTTAACTTCTTTGCAGTCTTCTCTATCTCCGAATCAATTGGCAATGGCGTACCTGTACGAAAGGGGTACGATATACTCCAAAATAACAGTACTATATTGCACTAAAAGGTAGTACAAGGCAAGTAGGGTCGATCCACGGAGACACGGAACAATTGGTCTATACCTATTTGCACAAGGAACTATGGTCACCAATAGTAAAGAGAGGGGGGTTAGAATGTAATGATTAAACAAACAATTAAAAACATAAGCAATCAACTAAATGCGTGAATTAAATTCAGAATTTGTAAGGACTCCAACTCCATGTATGACCATTTAGCAATGTGACTCAAAGATGACACAATATTCGTTCAATTCTATCTAAGTTGGTACTTGAAAGTGCTAATAGGCTCTAATACTTCCCATTCACCATATTAATTAACCAAAACAAGCTCTTTGATTAACCCTAACCATATTAACCTAATCTAAACAAGCTCTTAGAATTAAATTATAAGATTGCATGAAGCTTTATGTGAATGTTCCCAACAACACCCAATACTCCTCATAAGCTCGGGAGTGTAAAAGTGTATGAATAAGATTTACACTAAATTCATTCAATAGAGATCAATTTAATGCTTTTTACTTGTTCAATTTCACAAAACAAATACAGATTTTGTAAAAGAGATAACTTGAATGACCTAACCCTAATTCAAATGGCCAATAAGAATCATAATTAGAATTAAACATTCGATTGAAGCAAAATCAAATTCATTAGATAGAAATTAAGAACAAACATCATGTCATATGATTGAAGTCACTACCAAGAAATCAAAACATGAAATTGGAGAAACTAGGGTTCTAGCCACACATGGCTAGAACAAGATCACAAGAATAAAAGGTGGAATTAAAGTGCAATTCCAACTTACAAATACTAGAAATAATGTTTCCAAATGATTGCTAATCAAACCCTTGCAAAAACTTTTGAAAATCCTCCTCCAAATGTGCTCTTATATGTGGTGTGTTTCTAAAAAATGGCCCTTGACCCGTAATATGAAAGATAGGGAAAACTACCAAAATTTGGTTTCTGGGTCGAACACGGCCTGTGTTAAAATAGGCTAAACTGACACGGGTCGTGTTCAGCAACACGCCCCGTGTTGATTTGCACTAAACTGATATGCCCCGTGTTCAACATGGTCAATAGCTCCCATTTTGGCCAAACACGCCCCATGCCTACTTTTCAGTGTAAATTCAACACGCCCCGTGTACCTCTCTGACTCCAATTCCAAACATGATTTTCCAACTTTTTCATTCTTCGTCCGATCGTCCCGAAATGTTCACCAATGCTTCCCGACACTTCCCAAAGCGCATTCCAACCTCTGGTTTACCTGAAAAAGACATACAAGTGTGCAAATAAGGTTGTTCTAGAGACTAACATGAATATGATGAAATGCAAGGAAAAGGAAGAACAATTGTGCTAAATATATACATGAAATGGGACTAAAAGGTGCACAAATAGCACCTAACACTATTGTAGATGGACTGCAGAGATCGATGTGAAGTAGTTCCAATGGATTAGAAATAGAAGAATCAATCACGAATGGATGACTTGCCTTTGAGTGCTTACCACACTCACACGCCAGACAGAGTGTGTCATTGTGATACTTCAGAATGGGGAGACCACGAACTAGTTCCCCTGTGACCAAGTTGTTGATGTACCAAAAGTTGAGATAAGCGAGCTTGCGGTGCTAGAGCCAACTCACTTCGGATACAGATTTTGATAGAAAGCAAAGTTGTGGTTTGCCAATGATCAAAGAGACGTCCAGGGGGTACATAGTACCTTCGGATCTTGACTTGATCAAGCAAGCACTTCTATCATTCGTCATTATGTAACAGAATTGATCATCAAATTCAACTCGATGGCTTGCCTTACATAGTTCTCTGACACATACAAGATTGTGCTTCAAACTTTCTACATAAGCAACCTTTTGAATTGAGAAGTTTCCAATAGTAAGAACACCATAACCTCGGATAATCCCACTTGCATTTTTTCGAAAAGTGACATTACCCCCATTGCAAACTGGACTGAAGTCCCGATGGTATTCCATCCTTCCGGTCATGTGCAAGGAGTAGGCACTATCGATCAACCATTCTTCATCTTGATCCTCCTTGCACAAGGCCTGCACAACTAAGTGGTTTGGGCACCCAAGCGAGTTTGGAGCCCAAAGTAACGTACTTGCTTTTAATCGATGCATGATACGAGGTTGCACTAGTCCTGGGTGTTTGTGATTTTTTGGAGTGTTACGAGATTGAGAGTAGTGGTGAGTTTTTTGAGGAAAATAAGCTTTGTCATGAAGATTAGCTTTTTGACATCTACATTGACATGCGTATTTTTTGTCATTTTCCCTAACATAACTCTTGGACTGCATTTTTGAAGAAAAGTAATGATTTTGTTCAATCTGAGGCTTGTAAGATTTGACATCTCTGTTTGTGTGTTTTGAAATAGTGGACTTTGTAGGTCTAGTAGGTGTAGTGACACGTGCATATCTATTGTGATGTGACTTCTTAAGCTTTGGATGTGACCCTTTGAGTGTTGGAGTTAGCAAAATGCCTTTCCATAATTGTGCTTTTGAAAGTGATTTTGGGGTAGGCAAAATACCCTTCCATTTTGTATCATCTAATGAATAGACTTGAAAACCATTGGTCTGAAAAGAGTTTTTCCTTTTTGAAATTGTGTCAGATTATTTATGAGTAAATTTGGAAACTAGGACATCCTTTCCTTTTGCTTTCTTTGAAATAGTTGATTTGAAATGATAATTCGAGAAAGAAAGTTTTCTGGACTTTTGGACTTGGGAATTTTAATAGATTTCTTTTGTTTTGAAAAAGTTTCCCGTTGTTTGCCGCGGGAACGAAGTTACTCTTTGAAAACTCGTTTTGCTTCGGTTTTAGGAGAACCATAGTTAGTGATATTTAATTGCGGTTTCCTCAAATCTTTTGAAGATTTAGAAAAACGGGGACTTGATTCATCAGAACTAGAAAAGTCAGTTTTTTGAGAACATTGACCTACTTCAAAATTTTTAATTGGTAATTCATGATTGACTGGTTCAAGAGTCACTGAACTTTTGACTGTGGTTTGCGGTGTATTTCTTGGAACAACCGCATAGTAAGTTTTAGTGAGAACTTTATTAGGACTTTTGACACTAGATAGAGGGACTGATTGCGGATCATGACTACAATCAGAGACACTGCGGTCAGACTGCAGGGATGGGAATAAGACCTCAGGATTTTCATCAACAATTTCCTCATCAACTGCGGATGATGTCTGAGAATCAGGGTAAATTGTATCATCGATAGAGTTAGAAAATTCAGGGAGAATTTCCTCGATAACACAATTATTACTCAAATCATGGAGTTTACCAAAATGAGTATGAATATCCTCAAGAAATGTTTTGTCATTGACTGGAAATACAAAATTGCAGCCAAGTGGGACAGAGGGACGTTTAGGGATGAACCGAGGTAAGGAATCCGTTGCGGTTGGATGTCCATTTGACCAACCCCAATTGAAAGTATTATCAACATTTCCATTATTAACTAGATTCTCAATGGCTTCACTTTCATTAAAAAGTTTTTCAATTAAAAGATTTAAGCGTACAATTTCACTATGTGCTAAATCTCTCTGGTTCCAAGCTATCTCTAGTTGTGTTTCACTTAACATTCTAGCATCCTTCTCTAACATCAAGTCCTTTTCTAACGACCATTTTGAGTCTCTTGTTGTCCAAACATCCTCTTCCAATTCTTGATCCATTTGAAGATAGAAGGCTTGATCTTTCACAACATTTGCCTTACAGTCTTTGGAAAAATGGTTCTCTTTGTTGCACTTGTGACATATTATCATATCACTCTTGTCTTCAGAAGGTGTACAGGAGTCAGTAGAGTGAGACTGCGGAGGTGCATCTTTGGGTTGATTTAACTGAGACTACGGTGGAGGATGAGGATTCTTGGTGAAATGAGAGTTATTGTTTTGGAAGTTGCGATCGAAAGGTGGTCGGGTGTATTGTTGGTTTTTACGAAATGAAGGTAGTAATCTATTGAATTTTTGACTGACAAGGGCTATGGCATTATGAAATTCTTCTTCATCATCATACTCTGAGTCTGCTTCATATGACTGCAGTAGAGAGTCATACAAGATGGGATGTGTTTAAGATGATTGTGCTAAAAGAGCAAGTGGACCCCCGAAGTCTGAACAGTCCTTGAGTATGGTGGACTCTTGAGCCTGTAATTCTCCATAGAGCTTATAAAGGGACAATGAGTGAATCTTCCTATCTCTTTGAATAATCATTTTGGCCGTTGTCTAATGTCTTCCCAAACCATTCAAGAATTGAAGGTTTGTTTCATATTGCTTCTTATAGTACCCGCATTGGATAGTTTAGTCACTATCAGGTTGAACCTTTTAAAAGAGTCTTTTAAGCTTTCACCCGCATGAGCTTTAAAGTTGTTGAACTCATTAAGTGCAGTAGTAAGCTTTTTGTCTTAAGCTTGTTCGGTTCCCTCGAACAGATTCTTGAGCACATCCCATATTTATTTTGCGGATTTGCAATTTATGATGATATCGAAGTTGTTAGGGGATACTCCACATGATATCTCATAAAAGGTTATTGCATCGTTTTCCATTTTGTCAAGATCATCCTTGGTGGGATGGTTCATGACTGGTTGACCTCCTCCTAGTCTGACGGTGGTCCCATCGGTTTGAGCAGGTGTAAGAATTCGAACATGCGGTCCTTCTTCAACAGATCGCCATATGTCTCTTCCAAGTCTTCTTAAGTACATTTCCATTCTTTGTGACCAGTGATGATATTCATTTGCAACTAGTATTGGGGCTCAATTTGAACCACCAACACTATTGGAAACATTCAACGAAAAAGCTTGTGGCATTTTTTAAGTAGAGCTTCAGTGGTATAGAAGGCCTTTTTGAAGAATCAGAGTTCCGATATTCAAAAAGCAACCACAATGGCTCTGATTCCAATTGTTGAGAGAAAAACTTTGAGACACACTTGAACAAAAGTTAGAACAAGTATTCAGCGGAATAGTTAATCTCAGAGGATCTATAAGCTAAACAATAATATTATGTTAGATTGTTAGAAGGTTAGATAGTTAGATGCGGAAAGTAAAGAAAAGTAAATGACAACAATTTGTTATATCAAGTATACACATAAGTTGATACGTAACATGGAATGCATCCAAACCAATGTTAGTGAGTGAGATCAAACTTAGTGATTAAGTCAGAAATACTTGCTCTGGAGAGTGATTGTAATCTGCTATGTAATCCGTAATTAATATGTTTAAGTAAGAAAGAGATAGAAAGGATAAATCCAGAGAAAGTATATTAGAGAGTGAAGATGCGTGTTTGATACAATGAGCATGGTCTCTATTTATAGAGATGTAAAAGTTACAGCAAAAGTTCTCTATGAGTAGCCATGCAAGGTCTACTTGATAATAGAGATAAAAGTGATAAGACAATAAAGACTGAGTACAATAATCAAGACTGAGGTTCCTTAGACTTCGGCTTCAGATGGCTGAAGTAGATAATCTAGACTGCAGTTGCGGTGCTGACTGCGGTAGGGAGAATTCCAAGCGGTTCACTTTAAATGATTCAACAAAGGTTTTGGAGGAGTCTACATGAGGAAATGGGTAAGAAGTTGTGTTTAAGTACAACCTACCATCCGCAGAATGATGGTCAGAGAAAAAGAACGATTCAAACACTGGAAGATATGTTAAGAGAAGATACCCTACAGTTCCAAGGTAACTGGGCTGAACATTTACCCCTGGTAGAGTTTTCCTACAATAATAGTTACCATTCGAGCATTAATATGGCACTTTATCAAACCTTGTAAAGATAGAAGTGTCGTACGTCGTCTGGTTGGCTTGAGACCGGAGAAAAGCAATTTATCAGCCCCAAGATAGCCCATCAGACTGCTAAAAAGTATAAAGTGATTAGACAAAGAATGTTGGTTGCTTAGGATCGCCAAAAGATCTATGCTAACAAAAAGCGACAACTGATGACATTCGAAGTTGGAGATTTTGTTTTGCTCAAAGTCTCAGCATGGAAGGGACTTATACGATTTGGAAAGAGAGGAAAATTGATTCCAAGGTTTATTAAACCATTAAAAGTTCTTCATAGGATTGGGAACCAAGCTTACAAGCTAGAGTTGCCAAAAGAACTAGATGGTATTCATAACACTTTCCATGTGTGTTACTTGAGGAAGTTTATGGGAGAAGTTCCTGATATAATTCCAATTTCAAAGTTAAGAATGGATGAAAATAAGAGGCTAATCGAAGAGCCTGAAGCAATTGTTGACCACAAGACTAAGAAGTTGCAACGCAAGATGGTAGACTTAGTGCTTGAGCGATGGAAACATACGAATGGGCCGAACCTCACCTGGGAAACAGCGGGTGACATGATGAGTCGCTATCCACATCTGTTTGCAAATGCATGATTTCGGGACACAATCATCCTAAGTAGAAGAGAATTATAACATTCGTATTTGTATACTATGCATTAGTATAATAGTGTAATGATTAGGGTCGATAAGTATAACCTTACTTTTAAGTAATAAAGAGGAATTACTTGAATATTATGTGAATTATGTGCATTATACTTATTTATAAGATATAGTAAGTTAAGAATACAAATAAGCATTAAAAATAAAATAACAGATAGGCCCAATATCTATGAAGAAATTTGTAGTGGTTGGGACAATGACTCCGGAGATACAAAGAACGCCGAAATTCGAGTTATAACGAAGAAATTATGACATGTCTAAGTTTCGTGACAAAACTGACACGACACCGGGAATCGTAAAAGGTGAGTTTACGATAAATTACTTTTTAGCCTTAGTTATCTAAAAAAAAGTCGTAGAGTACTTCTCCACCTTCGTGACATAACCACAACGCCTTACCCCTCTACAATCCTCATCCCTAAGTAATCCCTCAAAACGAAAATACCCGAAAGGCTCCCAATAGAACCGTAGATACGCGATATACCATTTGCCATCACAAACCTGAGACTCTAAAATTAATTCAGGATTTAGGGTATTATACTTGGATTCCTCTGAACACCATTACCGGACATCACAATGTCCTACCTCAACCACTAATCTCCTACTCTCGACATCATACAAATACAACAATGCAATCCCCCCCCCCCCCCCCCCCCCGTGAATCTCATAATTGATTCTTCATTTTACCCACTGCGCAACTTCGGTGTATCCAAACACTCAATTGGAACACGGAGAAATTGCCAACGCTTCAGAACATATTGATGACCATCCGAAATTCTTTCCTTTACTGCTCAAAAGCCAAGCAAGAATACACATACCGACCTGGGAGTTGGCTGGCCGATCATCTCCTATCTACTCCAAAGGGGCATATAACAATCCATACATCGAACCATAAGTTCTCAACTGCCAATACCATCCTTACGAGCCTACCACCTTGAACATCCCTAACAACCACCAAGTTCCTGACCAATGGCCACCTGTCGTGGAGACACTCATCCTTTATCAAACGTACCACATGCATTATCTCACTCTGCACCTCGCCTCAACCACCAATAACCCTGGTCTCATAAATCCGAATAGCAGGTCACCATATCCAGTTCTCTAACCGCCATTGAACAAATCTCTGGTCCCCTCAATAAAATACCCGGTTCTCCCCCACTTAGGATTCAAACCATCACCAATTGGCACACTAACAATCTATCCCACAGACTGTTTCCACCAGTAACATCGCACCTACTCTTGGAAGGTGCTATGTAACGCCCGATGATATCCCTACATAGAGATCAACCAACCCCAAATAGCCTGAATCTCCGATGAAATCCTCAGGAACTTCTCATCACAACTATCTCTAGTCCTTCCTAAAATCTCATACCATCCTACTACCGGACATCTCAACTGTCCAGTAATAACCCTGACTCTTAGACTGGAAAACACTTAATCACCATACTCCTCCTCCTCAACTTCTCAACCAACGTTCCAACACGTGAATCATCACAAGAATAGGGACTCCATTCCCATACTCACTACCCATCATAGACAAAGAAGCCACCTCCCCGATATACTCTTTTGGATTACCCGTTGCTACAACTAACAAATGCCCTAATATACTCAAGTAGGGTGTATCCTGGTCCTTGACCATCTCCGTCCCAACTGACAACTTGTTCGTGATATAACATCACCTCGCGGCACACATACTGCCAGATACTCTGGTGAAAGATCGCCATCAATGTTACCCCGCAGGGTCTACCCCCCAATCTCAAAAACCGAAGATCTCAACACCTCCCATGTTTCCCACAGGAAACGAAAATAGCACCACCCAAATCCCAAAAGTTGACATTTCCACTATCGGTTGATTGCTCAACTCAGGCTATAATCCACCATAAAAGCCATCTCTACACATCCTTGAGTCTTGCGACTCCATCTGACATCTCACCAAAATACCTTGGAATTATCCCGACCTCCCTCTCAAGGGATGCTTCTTTGAACTCATTCCTCATAGCCCTCTGGCCTCGCGCTATATCGCATCTAATCTCCACCAAATCAACAATGATTGGATAACTAGAGAACCCCAAGCATTATCTGTTACGAATCGTGGTACACGAACCGTGACATCACCTCTCAATCTGCTACAATGCATGGTACTCGAACCATGACATCACTCCTCAATCTGCTACAATGCATGGTACCCGAACCATGACATCACCCCTCAATCTGCTACAATGCATGGTACTCAAACCATGACATCACTCCTTAATCTGCTACAATGCATGGTACCCGAACCATGACATCACCCCCTCAATCTGCTACAATGCATGGTACTCGAACCATGACATCACTCCTCAATTTGCTACAACGCATGGTACCCGAACCATGACATCACCCCTCAATCTGCTACAATGCATCGTACTCGAACCATGACATCAATCCTCAATCTACTACAATGCATGGTACTCAAACCATGACATCACTCCTCAATCTACTACAATGCATGGCACTCGAACCATGACATCACTTCTCAATCTGCTACTTAGAACCCCTGATATGCTCCCTGCATCAAGTATGGGTCCTATGATTTCAGTAGTACGGGCCCATACTATCTGCCACATCAACCCATACTTTCCACACGAACCATCCCAGAGTTCCTAAGTAGTTGCGAAACCTTCTCGACTGCCAATCTTGATACACGTGCTCGCTCTCCAGCGAAATACTCTACTCTGTCAGTGCACTCATCTGACCATGGTCACCCCCCTAGGCCCTTCCTAGGTTCTCACGCTGCTCTGCCATCAACTACTGAGGAACTCCTAATGATGCCAGCCATCTACCTCCTGAATATCGTCATATTCACTTAGTATCCGACTCCCATCATCGAGAGTTCCATAAAGCACGAAGCAAGCGGCATTCGGACTTCGGATAAACTCTACTAGCACAATAAACCTCACTAGGTTATTGTTCCACTTGCTCTCCTCATCCTCGGTAGATATCACCAAACTCAAGCGTCTCTGCCCCGCACAGGCATCCGACTACCTCTTCAGAAGACTCCTCAATGCTCATCTAGGTATATCTCCTAGATTACTCTATTACTCAAATCCCTCTCAAAAGGATTCCTATTCGATACTCTTATTCAGCACATACTCGGAATCACATCACTGATACCATCAACTCCTAGGCTAAGGCATCACAAATCAGGCCACTTGATTACTAAAATATGAAATACCAAGTGAGTCTCTATCATGCACAATATCTCATAGAATATCTCATAACACGAAGTAATGGTAT